TCCTCCTCTAAAACTGGCTCTTTGTCTAGTTTCACAAGTTTTAGCTCTATTTCATAGGTCTAGTCTTTACAATAGAATTATTAAAGGTTTGGGTTACCTCTTTACTCGAGTTTTCCAAGTAGGTTTCTGTCTTTCTACCTAGTTCCTATAATTTATACAACTTAAGAACTTATCTTAGATTCATACTGCCTGGTACCAGTTTGTGTTTCTTTGTACAATATTGCATAAATGCTTAGACCTTTCAGTCATACTAGTATAATATAGGTTATAGGTGTCTTATTCCAACCAATCATAAAAGACAGTTAACCATAATATAGAAAGAGTTGCAAATATTCATCGTTACTGGAATTTTGAACTCTAAACCTGCCACTTGGAGGTTAACAACCTATTTACTTCACTAGGTCACCACATTTTTTAAAAGTAAATATACTTAAAATATGTTAAATAAGTTATTAATAAGATTATTAAAAAAAATATAAAACTAAATAAATAGTTTAATTATATGATTTATTGAACTTTTTCTAATAATTCTTTATATTAACTTTTCTTAAAAGACTAACCTATGAAAACTATATGATTATTATATTACATATAATCCAAAACTTTATTTTGAAGTAACTAGAATTAAAAACTATTTACTGCATATTGTTTGTAAACTAAAAAGAGCTAAAAAAGACTCAAACCTTTATAAGCAAAGTTCTCTGATATAAAACTCAAATACTACTAAGCAAAGAAGTAGTAAATAAGCTCTGAAGCTTTGTTAAATACTATAAAGGCTTAGGTTGAAATAGTTATTTGGTTTAATATAATATTCTATATAGCATAATTCTTACAACACTTTCACAAGTTAGTTATTTTTTCTGCTCTTACTATTGAATTTTTTTCTCAAAAATTTTACTAAAAATTAGAAAATCTGGCATACTTTCTTCAAAGAATTGATACTGTTTATCTTTTTAAATTAGTAACAATAATCATAAGAAAGTCACAACACTATATACATAACTTACAATAAATAATACATGTCAATCTTAAGAGAAAAATAAAAACTTTGATCTTACTCTCTACATAATAAATAGAATACATTATAATACAGAAATAAAGCAAATATAAAATATTCTTTATTTAATATTATATATAATTTTTAATGCTAAGCATAGGCAAAAATAGTGCCTTCATGTTTTTTGTTTTTTTTTGCTCTTTTCTTTTTGTTTTTTTTTTTTTTTTTAGCATACATTTAGGTTTTATAGTTAGTTTCCTCTTTTTTTACTCTTTTTGTTAGTTTTTCTTTTATATCTTGTTGTTTTTTAGACAAGAATTATGGAATTCTCTTGCTTGATAATTAGAAGATTAGAGATTTAAAGATTTAGCAGCTATGACAAACCTGTAGAAGCATTCAGTAATATATTTTGAAGATTTAATTAATTTAAAATAATAGGTATTGAAATAATATTTACTATAGCAGGTCACATATAGGTGCTTTAAGAAGTAACTAGATAAGTCAATATTTAAAAGTAAAATAATAAAAATATGTTTTTAGAAGACTTTGTTGTAGTTTTGAAAAGTTATCTGAATAAAAAATATTGGCATAGCTACTGAAAGTTAAAAAAAAATAAATAAATAAATTGTTTAATAAAGTAAAATACTAGTTTGCTTATATTTCACTTTCACTAATAGAATAACATTTACAACCTAGCAACTTATATACAAACTTCAGTATCTATCTGGCAAAGTAATAGATACTACAGTAGTATTGACTACATCTGGCCAACCAACCTTTTTTATGCTACCTTAATAACTTTTTGATTGATGATCCTAATATCAGCACTTAAAGTAATCACAAAATTCTAACCTCATATTGGTGCTTTCCTTATGCATATATAGGCAAACCTTGACACTCAATCAAAACATGTAAAAAAACATTTTTATACAAAAATATGAGTACAGACCAATGGCAATTGTTTACAAACCAAGTAACAGCAAATCTTACCTCTAACAGAACACCCCTTACTATTCAAATCTTAGAGTTACTAGAATTTTCATAGTATAAAATATAAACTAGCATCATCTCTGCAGCAATACAGCATATTCCAAACAAAAAATTTACTATCAGAAACTTTTAAAATATTTTTTTTACAAAAGCATTATTACTGCATCAACATCTTAAAAAACTAGAAAATATTATTAAACAAACTAAACACTTATTTTAGAACCTAACTCCTATATCACACTAATACAATAATTTTATTAATTAACTAAACACATCTAATCATCTTAATATCTAACCCTATCAACTAAATATAACCAATTGTCTAGCTAGTTAATCTTGGCCAAAACTAAATAGATGTCATTATATCATGCTTGTAATATTGAAAATATTAAAGAAATAAGACAGCAAATTAACAATAATATTGCCAAAAAATGCAGCAAACTGCAATCAAACTCTATATCTATAATAAACAGTATACTTAACAAATACAAAGACTTAGTTAAATTTAACAATATCTGAACTGATACTGAAGTTATCACTAATGCATCAAGTATTAAACTTTATATTTAACAACACTTTGACTAATAAATATTATATAGACAAACTAATCTTCAGATTTATGAATTTAACTAAAAGAATGAATATAACTCCAAGCTACATATTAACTTCAACTGGTATCAAAAAGTTCTTAAAGAGTTTACTGTTAATGAAATAACAGAAACACTAGTACAGCTTCCAAATAATAAAGCTTGTGACCACTTAGGCATTAGTTATGAAATGCTGAAGCATGTTGGCACATCTTTTTTTCAAGCAATTACAGCTTTACTAAACAGATGTTTACTTACAAATCATATTTCAAAACAATAAAAAGAGGATAAAATTTTTTCAATTTTTAAAAAACTAATATTTAACAGTAATTTGATCAATACTAAACCTATCAGTTTTTTGGAACATGCCAAGAACTTTATACCAAACTTTTCACAAACTGGTTAAATAATATATTTACAAAGTATGAAATTTAATCATCTTACAATTATATTGCACTGCTAGGCAATAGTACAGCTATACCTATTTATATACTTAACAACATAATTGAAGATGCATCTTGCAACTCAAAAAAACTCTGGTTTATATCACAAGATATGAGCAAAGCATATGATTCTGTTAATCTTGATCTATTCAAAAAAGCATTTTATCACATTAGTATGCCACTAAAGCTAGTTTATATACTTACTAACTTGTTAACAAATCATCAAAACAGAGTAATTACTAACCTGAACTTTACTAATCCATATATAGTCAAAAATGCCATTAATCAAAAAAAAACTATTACTTCTCTTTTTTAGTATATTTACTATGATCTACTTATTCACAAAATTGCATTACAACACAAAAGCTATATATTATTTACAACTTGGAAAACTTATCTTTCACCATCCAAGACCAAAAGCCTTCAAATTTCTACCTCTGTACTAGCATATATAGATAATACATTTTGGATAGCTCAAACAAAATTAAAACTCAAACAGATTATTCAAACTGCCACATTCTTTTATCTAATAGCTAACATCCAAATTAATCTTTTAAAGTCCATTTTTATCTCAAAATCTGCTATATCAACTACTCAGTTTTTTAACTTGATTCTCAAATCTATACTAGCTAGTTAGTCTTTCAAATTTTTAGGCTGCTGGTTTATTCTCAATAATAAGCATATACAACTAATTAAAATTATTCAAGAAGAAACACTTCAACTCACTAACATTGCCAATACTAAGAAAATTACTGATAAACAAATTACTTATATGATTAATACTGTTATTATACCTACACTCAAATATAGACTACACAATATAATTTTGCCTCAATCTACATGTAACAATATACAGTCATCTCCCTCTATAATTACCTTCTATATAATCACAACTTCTATATAATCATATAAGTTTGTATTACATTTTTTTTATAATAAAAATACCTTTTTATAATCATATTATTATTTATAATCACTATCACATATTTTTAATTCATTAAAAATGTTTTTATATAGGATTTTCCCTTGATATCATTACTTTCTAAAAATGTATTTAAATAAATTTTTTTTTAATATTACTCAAAATATCTTTAAAAATGCCTTCTAAAAAAACAAAATGGCTATTAATGACAAATTAAAATATGATATTTGTGTTTATAATAACAAAAATCCTATTCTTTCATATAGGAAGATTGCAGAATACTTTTAAGAAACTTTTCAAGTTAATTTTGAATGCTTTACAATATCCAAAATATTAAAAGAAAAAAAAAATAGTTGGCGGTAATTGTTAATATAGATAGTGCTAAAATTTATTATTATAAACAAGTTAAATACCTGTTATTGAATCAAGCAATGCAATTATGAATTGAACATATTACTAGTAATAGAATGTTTTTGTTTGAATTAATTATCAAAGAGAAAGCCAAGTGTTTCGCACAAAATTTGGATATAATAATGAATTCGCTTAAATTTTCTAATAGTTGAATTCATTGATTTAAAAAAAGAAATAACTTACAAAATTATCATTTACATGGTGAAGCTAGTTCTGCTTCTTTAGAAGATCTACTTAACTAATGAAATTCACTGCACAATATTATTCAAGAGTATACTCTTGATAATGTATTTAATGTAAATAAAACTGAGCTTTTTTTTAAAATAGCACTTAACCAAACACTTGCATCAAAATCACATTCAGGTTGAACAAAGATAATACTTGTTTTAAATGTAATACAGTAACTTATTAAATTTATATAATTAGTTTATCTATTTAGATTAGTTATTTTTTTTTAAAAAAAAATTGTCATGTATTTATACATATATATAAATAGGTAATATTTTTTTTTTTGAAAAAAAAAGAATTTTGTAATTTAAAATAAAAAGCAAGTTTGAGTTATTTTTAAAACTTTATATTCTGAAATTCAAAAAATTAACTTTTATAACTTTATTATTCTAAATTATTAGGATAAAACAAGAGTTTCTATTATGCTAGTGTGTAATGCAATTAGGATACAAAAACTAAAACTACTTGTAATCAGATCCTTAATTCAACTTCATTTATTTGCATGCATTAATCATAACACCTTGCCAGTTACATACAGAGCCAATTCTCGAGTATGAATGTGATATGATCTTTTTAGTGAATAGTTAAAATGCTAGATTATCAATTTTGTCTTTAAAATAGAAATGTTTTAATTTTAGTTGATAATGCATCTTGTCATTATGATCCAAACAGTATTTTATTAACTTTTAATTTTAATAATGATAGTTATAAAGAAGGAACTGAATTAGCAGAAACATCTGTATCTAGAATTAGTAATATAAGATTGTCTACTTTACAAAATAATTAGAGTTAAGCTTGTAGTAATTAAAGTTATTGTCCCTATATAATTCCTAATTTTACTGGCCTTTAGTTAACTAATATTAAACTTTATTTTCTTTTATCTAATACTACTGCACATCTTCAACCAATAGATGCAAGCATTATCAAGTGTTTTAAATCAAAATACAAACAAAAATATATTCAACATTTTTTCACTCAGTTTGAACAAAGTGAAGATATACAAAAGTAAGTTGGAAATATTAAATGCTACAAATTAAAAACCTGGAATTGAATATATAAGTATTATATATTCAGTTCTAGGTTTTTAATTTGAAGCACTCAATATAAGTATAATATTGTGTGTCAAATTAATATCTAAGTTAGATTAAAATACAGTCATATTCCCCTAAGTATACTCATCTTGGGACCATAGTAAAAAAAAAAAAAACATGTACTTAGAAGAGGTGTACACTTAGAAAGATTAAAATTTATAGTTATTATATTATTTGAAACCAAGAAGAAGTATGCACTTAGAGAGGTTTTTCATATATTATGCACTTAGGATATGTGCACTTAGGGGGTGCAACTGTAAGTATAATCTCCTGATAGTGATTCTATCACATCATTTTTTAGTATATTTTTTAATTTCTAATAAATTTTTTTTTATTTATAGTACATATGATTCTTTATATTTATTTTTGATAAGTTCTATCATAATTGTTTACTTATTTATTTTGCTTAAATAGTTTCTTTTATTACTGTATTTATTTTTTATTCAATTATGTTATTAATTTTTGATAAGTAACTATACATTTGCAGCATTTAATTCGATTTATAATTATTTATTAAAATGCACAAGCAATCTTATACTAGTTAGAAATAGTTTGCCTATGCAATATACTTTTGTAAGTTCAGATAATAATTCATATTTCTAACTTGGTTTGTACTGTATATGCTGTATATATTCTTATTTTTTATTTATAAAGTATCAGTTCAGTATGCAAATAGTTTTTCATATTATTTATGCTTAGTAAGTTTATCAACTTATTTATATTATATTATCTAACTTTATTCTTATTTATTTTATTTATTTATTATTTATTTTAATATACTGTATTTTTTTTTGTATATTAGTTCTTTGTATCTGCTTACTTTAGTAAGTTTGCCCAATTTAACATTTATTATTTAATTGATTATTGATTTGTTTAAATGCCAACTCTAATTATTTTTAATATTGGTTCAATACTTTAGTGGTTCCTCTGACTATTAATTTTTTGGTATTTATACTTATTGTTGACTCAGACTTTAATAGCTGCTAAATAAAATATGCATTTGATTAAAATGATTTTTAAATACACAAAATGTACTGTATGTGTTGCTTATTTTTAGTAAGTTAAAATTTAATTCATATTCTTATTATTTTAAATGCATATATAATTCTTTTTACTTACTCATGATTTCACAAGTCATACAATAGCTAATTCAGATTGCAAGTAGTTTTTTATACTATTCATCTTTGGTAATTTAATTAATTTTTCTTATTTTACAGTATTCATATCTCTATATTTATTCAATGCTAATGGCTTATCATCTCTGTTATTGTAGTAAGTTAATTCAATTTATATTTACTGTATGTTCTTATAAAAACAAGATTTCTAATACTGATGTAAATAGCTTTTTATTTACCTTTTTATTCACTTCACAAATTTAGTCAATTCAGAATTCAAACAATAATTTCTATTATTTAATTTTGGTTAGTTGAGCATAATAGCTTTTATATATATAATGATTCTTACTCATTTTTCTTCATATATTTTTATTTAGAAGTAAGTTTAGCAAACTTTTATTAAGCTATTTAAATGCATTCTCATTTATTAATCAATTTAATTTAGTACAATATTAGACAAAAATTATTTAAATATTTTTGTTAATATTGGTGGTTTTTTTTTTTTTTTTTTTTTAATTTCCTATTGCATAGTCACTAGTGGACCACAGCTGGCAGCTGTTTTATTAGTTCTTATTTTAAATTTACAGGACCTTCTATCAGGACCCCATCTACATTTTTATATTATTTGTATACATTTATGATACTATTTATATACTAATTTCTGTGTTACTATTATCTCGAAATTTCACCAGGATTATTTCTAATCAGGGATTTCTTTGTTCTATTATTATTCTTAGCCTCCTAATCATCACAGCCTTCTTATGTCAGGTCTGTCTCTATTTAAGGATCTGGGTATCAAAGATCTTCCTATTTTTGTAGTTCGCAGTTAGCTGTAGTTAATTAATAATCATAGTCCTAACTCAGTTTTCATCTCCTATTGGACTTGAACCAGCAACCTTGTGATTGGTGACCTGGAAGTGTAACCACTTCACTATCAACCCACAGGTCATTTTATATTGGTGGTTTTAAATTTTAAGTAAGTTTAATAAATATTTTGATTTGCTGCTGTAATCAAGTTCAATAATTATCCTTACAAATAAGAAATATCTAAAATTGTGTGCAATCATATATAATTTAAATTTTCTATAATGAACTGGCAGTTTGGAATTAAAAAAATTTACTATATAATTACTATGTTTTAGATCATAACACTTTGATTTCTATTATTTTTAAAGTTTTTATATTCAGAGTTTACTACAATTAAGTTAGAATTTGGATTTATTTAAGTTTGAAGTTTGCTAAGATTGGTTAGAGTATCACTTATTGTATTTTTTTTTACATTTGAGTGAAAACCTGCTAAGTAAATATTAAAATTTATTACTGTAACAGAATTATTACATCATTTTAATATAATAAGTTCACTACAGTGAAAAGTTTAATATTTATGTACATAGTTTTTTTAATTAAGAAAAATAATACTGATTGGATAAATGTTATGTGATAGTGTGGATAAATCCTAGATACAATTATACTTCTCTATAATCATCATATTTGTATGCACCTATTTGTGTAATTATAGAGAGTAATGACTGTACTAGCCAAATATCTAATAGTAATCAAATACAAATCTCATTTAGCTTACTTTATTCCTAATAGTATCATGCTTAATCCATACTTATATAATGTTTATAACATCTGAAACATCTAGCTTCAACATTATATTACCAACTTTTTATTATGAATTAACAACTTTAATCTACTTAAAATTTCTATCTGAATAAGGCTACAACAACTTCAAAACAACCTTTGGTTAGTGACCAATATACTTTAGCACCCATGACCAAGTATTGATAAACCTAACAAATATATACTAAACTTCAAAATCATTCAACTCCTAACTTATCTAAATATGTTTATAACAGCTAACTCTAATATAGCTTGGCCTAATACTATCTATTACAATCATCAGCCTTTAGAAAAAATCTTATTATTGCATGCTTAATATACTATTTTCAAAAAACAACTTAGAAATCTTAATATACTATATTTCAAACAACTCTGCACTGCAGATAATACCATATTACTTGAATGAAAACACCTTTCATCTCAACTGTTTCAACTGTTCAAAGATAGAAAACTATTATGATTTACTTATTTAGAAGATTCAATAATAGCCTACAGCAGCTACAGGATACTCCTTCTATATTATTAACAACCAAAACATAACCCTTTTGCTTATAGCTCACAACCAATTTTAAAAAAATCAAACCTATAATTACTTATATATAATAATAATGAGATTATTATTGGCAAAATCCATAGATACTTTTATAATACTAATCAAATATCTATCACATATTAGCAATTTGATATTAATATAAATCAGCTAAACTATTACTCTCTTCTACTAATTAAATATATAATCTGTTCAAGATATTTTTTAAACTCAGATAGAATTAAAAACCAATGCACAATTAATGCATTAGCAGTTATATCTACTAAATTTCTAGGATGAATAAATTCTAACTCTATTAATTTCAACTTCAATTACTTGGATCTTATATATTCAACAGCAGTTAAGCACCTTTTATCCATCTTCTCAGTCCTAACAATTACTATTCCAAATTCCTCTGCAAGTAAAATCTTTGACTCAGGAGAGATAACAAATATACTAGAGCAATTTTCTATTATTAATGCCTCACAACAACAAATTAACTTTTATACTGATAGTTCAGTAATTGATATTAAAACTAACCAATACACTATAGGTATTGGCTAGATTCAAATCAATAATAACAACCAAATTATTCATAAATTCTTTACTAAAATTCACTTTTGGCTATTTTTTTACAAAGCTGAACTAATGTCTATACTTTCAGCTATCTCTACAGCTTCTCAAAATTTAACAATTAATATTTTTACAGATTCCCAATCAATAATTACTAAGTATTTTAATATCTATACTACACTTTCAAACCTTAACAGACTCTTCAAATTCAATACATAGCCTATATGATATACCTTATTAAATATTATAAAATTATATAACTTACAAGTTACATTTTACAAAGTCTAAGCTCACTCTGATAACCCTTATAATAACTTAGCATATTTATTTGCAAAACAGCATATTTCTTCTTTTTCTCTATACTTTAACTATACTAATATTTATAACTCATATTATATTATTTATTAGGACTAGCATTTTATAGAATATCCAACTAGAAGCTTTATTAAAAACATCTGCAAAGCTTATATTCTGACTATGTAGTCCTAACAAAAACATAACCAAGAATAGAACAACCTTATTTCAGAAATAGATTAGAAATCAACTTGGCTATACTTTAACTATAACCAAAAAACAACATATAATCTTACTATCTTTAAACTCAATTATCTTAAATCCTTTAAGATTAAAATTCTTCTAAATGAACTTCACATCTATTTTTTTTGTCATAAAACATACTTATACAAATTTTGTAATACAAATTGCTTTTTCTATAACATCTCTAATTCTTCTATACACTGGTGCTTATGCTCTAACCCAACCCTATTTATCAATATTATTTACAACACTATTACCAAGCATATCAACCAAACTAACTTAGATCTTTCTAAAAAGGAACAAAATAAACTTATTCATAATATTCACAACAATGAAGCATTCCATCATATACCACTTCATTATAACTCATTTTACCTCAACATTATACTTAAAGGTCTTATTTTCAAATTTCTAGTTCAAGCTATCCAAAACTTTAATATTTCTTACAAACTAATATTACATATTATAATCAATATGTTATTTGAAATTAATAAACTATGTTATGAGAAATTCTGAAAACTATACTGTATAAAATTCT